CGGTCTCGTAAGTTTTCGTAATATTACAGAACGTAAGTTTACGCAATATTACGCCCTATTAAATTTACTGATGAATAAGCATGATAAATGAGTTTGTATTAATATAAAGTAAACAGGCCTTATCTCTATAATGAGGCTTTATATAACCATACCAAAAGTTAAATTTCATAACCTTATTAACGTTGAGAATCGCCTACCCTACATAAACTGGTTTGTTTAAAGTTACTGCCTTTTAATATGTGCATAGCTGTTATTTTATCTTCAAAAGCTTTAAAATCTACATATAATAGTGAATTTACTAGATATCTTATTTTTTTTATCCTCTACTATTCAGAATAATTCAACTTTCTTATGTTTACAAATATTTTCCATTTGTTTGCCAAAGACTATATTGTTTTTTAGTTTATAATACATAAATCCTAAACTTATTTTTATTATCCTTATCTATTTTGTGTTTGCGAATATTTTTCTTGATATATTCTTTTATCCATAGAGACTACTTAAATTTAAGAATACTATGAATCTTTATAACTTTCATTCCAAACTTCATATATTTCTGAAGAGCTCAGTAATGCATTATATAGTTCTTATTAGTGCAAATCAATCGTGATGACGTATTATGTAAGCTAGAATATGCATGAACTGGTATAAATTTAGTAAGTTTTCATTCGTATAAGTATTTTTTGTTAATTCAGAGGTGTAAACAGAAACCTGATATTTATATACAAAATGAATGGAATGAAAGACTCCTTAAATAGTCGTCTAGATAGTCCTCCAACAAGGTCTTTATTTGTATTTACTGAAAAATCTGTTTTAAACCTTGCTTTAACTCTCGATATTTGCGTTTACAGGTATATCATAGCATTTTGTTTTGTGGTGGATACCGAAATTGAGAGCGCTATTGTAGTTAAAGGCGAGGCAGGAATGAGCATTGCGGAACTCAAGGATACAATCTACGAGAAGAAAAAGAAGTATTTTGAAAAACAAGATTATGATCCCAGCGATTTGCATCTATAGAAGGTGGATATTCCTGGCGATGCAGAAAACGATAAATTCGTTAAACTGAGAACACTTACAAGCAGATCTCATAATGAAGATACTATTATACAAGAGCTCGAAAGGCAAAAGTTGACTGCATTTAAGGATTTTGGTGACATTTTTAATAGTGACTCGAAGAACATCCGCATCATAGTGTAACCACTTCAGCCTACCACCACTGGTAATGGTTTACCTCTCGAACAAGAAATTCACATCATCCCACATCTTATATATTTTTTTTTTATTTGATTAGGCAAAAAAAATCATGCTTATTCAGATTCATTAGAGTAGAGCATTGCATTATTAGAAACGAATTTAGTCGTTTCAGATGTGGATGTAATTCTCTCCAAGTTCGACCAACTTTTTACAAGATGCTATAATGAAAATCTTAAGCTTCCTATTTTTAAGCCAGATAATGCTCATTCTTACTATAATTCTATCTGAGACTTCCAAATTCCCTCAAATCCCAAATACAAGCAAAGACCTTTCCTCCTCATGAGTGATCTTCCAATAGATGGAAATAATGGGCTAACTGACACTACTATTTTAGAAGAACTTTCATAGATAAAAGAGTGTTTATTAGTCATGAGAACTTCTGGCTCTGGGAAAACAAGGACATTAATTGAATTGTTATGCAAAAAGTACGGATTTTATTTTACAGGTCTTATAAAGGAGAATCCGAGTTCGGGTGACCTTTCCATAATGATTGATCATTTACTTCCAAGATTGAGAGATTCTTTAACTCACAATGACGCTTATGCTATGAGATATAGCAAATGTTTATTGTTTGCTCGAATTTATACTCTTAATTATATATTGGAAAATTACGGAAAAATAAGTCCATACAATTGGGCTATCTTACAGCTTTTTCTGACTCTTTTTTTGATCTTAACATTTTTGAGGAAATGATCTTGAAATTCAGGACAGTCCCAGAACATTTTTTGAATGATCAGATTCGGATATTAATTCATAAGATATTGTGTATTGTAAATCAGGTAGGATTTTCACATTTGCTTTTTTTCACTTCAATCTGTTTACTTTATATTACTGTTGTTAATTTTTTAGAAAAGGCTATCAATAATTTTGGATGAGGCCCAAGAACTCATCGATCAATTTTATAATAAATTCTCTTCTACTACCAACAAGGATAAGAGTCGACCATTGTATTCAGTAATTATTAGAGTTTTTACAATTTTGGGTATATGCGTTATTCCTTCGGAAACTGGTCTAACGATGAAGTCAGTACTAAATATTACTGGTTCGCATGTCATGAAGGGAGCAACTTGGAATCATGAAAATTTAATTGTTATAAAGAATAGGTTAGATTTAACTGATAGGCTCAGAAATTTCCTATCAAAATTTGGGTTTCCATTTGATGATCACCAAGATATTATGCAGTGGTTTGTAGGACGAGTTAGGTTCGCAACAACCTTTGTTGAAGAATGGTTAAATAACAATTTTAGTATAGATGCATTGTTTAAGAAGTTCAAAGAAGAGTATACAGATCCAGTCAGTAATAAAAGCATTATGGTGAAAATTATCAATCAGACAAACAAAGATACTATATGACAAGGAATAAGAATGAGTTTATTAAAGGAAGGTGCATGTGAATCAGATATTATATCATTGTTGGAACGAGCAGTGCTAAAGATTTGGTACAATGGTATTAATGCAATTATTATTAAAGAAGAAATTGCCTTGGAATTATTTGAATATGGGATTGCACTATTGCATAAAAGCAATTTTAGTAAATTACAAATTAGTATAAGTGAACCTCTTGTAATAGAGTCTGCGTTGCGATATTTTAAGAAGTATAAAGATATTTCTTCGTATATTTTGGACCAAATGGCCAATATGGATTTCTCCCCATCTAATATGGGAATATTGTGGGAGAATCTTATTCCCAATGCAATTATGATGCTTTTCCAAAATGAAGATCTTCATGATATATTTAAAAAACCGCTTCCATACAAGAATTGCAAGATTCTTGAACCATCTAATGGCAAACTCTGTGTTCTAGCAATGCATAGTATTTTTGATTATAATCTATCAAACTTTTTGGAAAATCCCGTCTCTTCTTTCTTTTATCCGGAAAATACTGCAGGACCAGATGTAATAACAGTAGTGTGTCCAGTGGATTCAGATAAGAAGTATGTTGTCATTTATTTCATTTATACAGATAATTTAATATTAATAAAAGTATTGTTTTGATTTTAGATATCTTGTCTTAATTCAAGCAAAGTTTCGAGAAAAAAATGGAGACGATGTTCTATTAACTACTGATCCAAAAAAGTTTTATCATACAAGACCGAAAAAGAAGGGAGGAAAAGATAAATTGGTACTATCCTTTTAAAATTTTGATTATATACTTTGACTTATAATTTTAATATTCTTTTTTTCAAAATCCTATAACTAGTTGAACGGGCTAATATATAAAGAATCTTATGATAAAGTAACAAAACTGATTGATGAGAATTATGACGGTATTTTTAGGATTTTCATCAGTTATCCTGCTACAATGAAATTACAGGAGGAAAAGAAAGTTGAAAGTACTATTGATATAGAGATAAATAGTACGGTAGAAGAATGGACTGCAATTATTGACACAAGTAATTGTCATCGTATTTTTGACCAACATCATATTAACGTGTTCAATGAGTTAAAGTGACCAAAAAAGAGAGAAGATGATAGCCAATTAGATCTTAATTCATCTAAAAAGTTAAAATTTTAATATACGTTAGACGTTCAAAATTAATAAAACTTTTTATGATACTATGATATTTGCAAAAAAAAAAAAAAATTAAATAAAAAAGATTACATTTATTTTTATGATATGTTCTTCTAGAAACTAGTTGAATACCTTGTTATTAATTTATCGGTTTAATTTGTGCAACCTATTAATACAATGATAAAATATATACTATGGATTATAGCAGAGCGTAAAATAGGATATCAAGTTTTTCGGATAAGTATCTGATTACATAAAAATTTACCGGATTTTTTTAAAATCAAACAGAAAATATCCAGTTTCAAATAAATTTATCAGATCATCAATAAAATTAAAATTATCGAATCAAACAAGTTTAAATTCTTCGTTTAAATATTCAATTCATCTTCTTCATAATCGACCAATTATTTGGCCAAATCAAATGATTAAAAATTTTCATTGCATTTAATAAAGGTTGATTTGGAAATCTTTTTTGTATTTCTAAAATAACTGCATCAGAAAATGATGAAATTATAGAAATTAAATCTGATTCATAATCCTCTATCCACATTAGCTAGTGTTCCGCACGGATCGGATCGGATCGGATTTGGGCAAAATCCGATTCGATCCGAATCCGAAAAATCCGAATCCG